CTCCTAGCTTGAGCAAAAGTGCCTCTGAAGTAATGGGGGTTGAAGATGATCAAAAACCCTTGTCAATCGCTCTTGAAGGGACACAGTTTCTAGCCAATGGTCATCCAATTCTAACTGAAGTCCCTGCCAACATTGTTGCCACACCATCTCCATTTTTCTCCAAAGACTTAACCAGAAAAATGGTCGGCAGTTTTATTGGCTTTGATGCTATAGAACCAAAAAGCCGCCATGTAGTCCCTCTTGGTAAGCTCAAGAACATAAGATTCATGAGCATATTTAGATTTAAAGTCTGGTGGACCACTCAATGGGTTGGAAATTCTGGTAAGGATGTCGAACATGAGACACTAATGATGATTATTGATAAATCAGACAATGGCCGCCCCTATGTTCTTCTCCTTCCAATTCTTGAAGGACCCTTTAGAGCTTCATTGCAGCCTGGCACGGAGGATTACTTGGATATTTGCTTGGAGAGTGGATCAAGCACAGTTTGCAGATCGCGTTTTTGCAGTTGTCTGTACATGCACGTTGGAGATGATCCATTTCAGCTAGTGAAGGAGGCAATGAAGGTGATCAAGGTCCATCTAGGGACCTTTAAGCTTCTTGAGGAGAAGCGTCCACCAGGTATAGTTGATAAATTTGGTTGGTGCACTTGGGATGCCTTTTATCTTAAGGTAAGCCCAAAAGGGGTTTGGGAAGGGGTAAAAACCCTAGTGGAGGGTGGGTGCCCTCCAGGAATGGTCCTGATAGATGATGGATGGCAATCTATTTGTCATGATGATGATGATGTTAATGACCAAAAAGGCATGAATAGAACCTCAGCTGGTGAGCAAATGCCTTGTAGGTTAGTAAAATTTGAAGAAAATTACAAATTTAGAGACTATACAAGTTCTAGGGTACCCTATGATAAGGGCATGGGTGCATTTATTAGTGATCTTAAGGAGGAGTTTAGGAGTGTAGAGCATGTTTACGTTTGGCATGCATTGTGTGGATACTGGGGTGGGATTAGACCTAATGTCCCAAACATGCCTGAGTCTAGGGTCATTAGTCCTAAACTGTCACAGGGATTGCGGATGACTATGGAAGATTTGGCCGTGGACAAAATTGTCAACAATGGAGTTGGACTGGTCCCACCAGAAAAAGTTCAGGAGATGTATGAAGGCTTGCATTCACATCTTGAATCTGCTGGCATTGATGGGGTCAAGGTGGATGTGATACATGTAAGTTATGAACCCTTTAAGATAATGCCTTTATTCCATTTTTATCCTTTTGGATCATAGTGGTCTACATATATTTGCAGGGATGTTTACAACTAGCTGGCTCATAATCTTCTTGCATGGATTACTATCTTTAGGTCTTCTAATATGACATGTTGTTGATAATGTAGAGGGCACCGACTGTAATTGATAATAAATATTATTAGCTCACCCTGTTATATAGAGTAAACGATTGCTCTTTTCCGGATCAGATTTAATAGGAAAATATGTAAAGACAAAATGGAAGTAGTAGAAAGATCTAGTGAAAAATGGAAGGAGAATACTTCAAAGGAGAAAATTAATTTATTCAATAATGGAAAAAAAAATTGAGTTTTGCTATATATAGACATTGAGTTTTGCTATATATAGACAAATTAAGTGCTAGAATTGTTAGGAGCTTGGAGGACATAGATCCTTTGTATATGTCAACATGGCTTTTAAAACAACGGGCTTAATAGCAAATTAAGATTAATATAGTATTAAAACTGCAGAAACATTCTATTGGTTTTGCAGTTGCTAGAGATGTTATGTGAGGAATTTGGAGGTCGAGTTGAGCTTGCTAAAGCTTACTATAAAGCCTTAACAGCTTCAGTGAGAAAGCATTTTAAAGGCAATGGTGTGATCGCTAGCATGGAGCACTGCAATGATTTCTTTTATCTTGGAACAGAGGCTATAGCTCTTGGACGTGTTGGTAAGCTAGCTAACCTGAATAATATATTATTCTCACATTTATTTATGTTCTTCTATTTAGCCAAATTAATAAATTAGAGAATGTCAATTAAGGACTTTTTTTTTATACTTCATTGCCTAAGTAAGTAGATTTTAACATTTTCGAAGCTAAAGGTTGCTTTTAACTACTATTCTATTTTCTTTTTACCTTTTATTTAGACCATTTTGAAACTTAGGAACTTTTGTTTCTCAAAAATTTTCACGACAACCCTTCTAATGTATCATATTCAAAGAATTGTGGGAATGCTAAATCATACAAGGGAAAAAAGACCTTTATAATAAATTCTTCGTTCAAAATATTAGATGACAGAATTTTTTTGCTGTTCTCCTTCTTGATGGCTAATCTTGCCTTCTATAATTGAGTTCATGACCTTGCTGTCTATTTACCACTAATGCTATATGTAGATTAATTTTGTGCCATTCCTACATTCAGGGGATGACTTCTGGTGTACTGATCCATCTGGAGATCCTAATGGTGCATTTTGGCTTCAAGGGTGTCACATGGTGCATTGTGCTTACAATAGCCTATGGATGGGAAATTTCATACAACCTGATTGGGACATGTTCAATCTACTCATCCATGTGCTGAATTTCATGCTGCCTCCAGAGCCATCTCTGGAGGACCAATCTATGTTAGTGATTCTGTCGGAAAACACAACTTTCAGCTGCTCAAAAGCCTAGTTTTGCCCGATGGCTCCATCCTAAGGTGTCAACACTATGCTCTACCCACCAGAGACTGCCTCTTTGAAGACCCTCTACATGATGGAAAAACTATGCTCAAAATTTGGAATCTTAACAAGGTAAGAATTTTGGATTAATTCTTTCATCCTCCCTTTGAATTATGAACATTTTTGTGCTGTCAATGAGGGTTAACCTTGTCTAAATATACAGTAACAATAATGCTTATCAACTGTGCTTATCAATTATTAACGTTTAGACATGCAGATTCCACATATACGATATATCATTACCCTCTGATTAGGAGTTCAATTCCTGTCATTTTACTGTGGCTCTTGGATGCATTTTTGCAGTTTACAGGAGTTCTTGGAGCATTTAACTGTCAAGGAGGGGGATGGTGCCCTGTAACTAGGAGAAACAAAAGTGCGAGCGAATTTTCAGTTCCTGTTAACTGTTTGGCAAGTCCTGAAGATATTGAATGGAGCAATGGAAGGAATCCAATTTCTCTAAAAGGGGTGGAACTGTTTGCAATCTATATGCAACGGGAGAAAAGGTTGAAGTTATTGAAGTTGTCAGATAATATGGGAATCTCTCTGAAGCCATTTGAATATGAGCTCATGATTGTTTCTCCTGTGACTGTCTTGACCAAAAAATTGGTCCAATTTGCTCCCATTGGACTGGTAAATATGCTCAATTCTGGTGGTGCTGTGGAGTCTCTGATATATGATGATGATGATGACAAAAGTTCAGTGAGTATAGGAGTCAGGGGAAGTGGAGAAATGAGAGTTTTTGCATCAGAGAAACCTATATCTTGCATGATTGATGGAATTGATGTGGAGTTCAGCTATAATGATCAAATGGTCATCATTCAAGTTCCATGGCCTAACTCATCAAAATTATCCATAGTTAAATACATATTCTGAAAACTAGTATGTGAAGTTTCTTGACCGAGATTCTTTTCTTTATATTGTGAATTTTTTAGAAGTCAAGATCTTCAGATCGTGTTTGTCTAAAAAGTCAGCCTGGTGGATTTGTACTGTTTTGAGCTGATCCAGGATGTAAAAAAAGATTTGTGTTAATGCATGGTCAAAAACTTATCTATAATCATGTGTGCATCTACATTTTACTATATAACTCTGGATTGGATTGACCCAAGCTCGAACTGTTGTGCCCAAGAAATAATGGGTTCAACAAGCAACATAAATGAGTTGACATGGATGAAGGCCTAATATGTACGCCTGAAATTATAATGCTGCGAACTTGTAGATAATACAAAGCCATGCCCAATAAAAGCCCAGCCCACATCTCTTCATTTAGTTTTAAAAATTGTACAGTTTTTTTTTTTTTTTTTTATGTTTAGCAAAAATGCCAAACAAGTGACCCATAATAATCACAGTAGTTGGAGCATCATTCCTTGATAGATATTAATATCAAAAGATGCATCAATCATCCATAGATATCTTATTTGTAGTTAGATTTCTTGATTGTTATTTGAACTTCTGATACTTTTTGTACTCCCCCCCCCCCCCTGTTTTCTGTTTACTGCAAAGGAAAAATTTAAGTATCATGGTTTCTTTACATGGTTGTGATGTTACTCAATGTTGGCATGTCTTTTGACACTCGACTCAAAATTTGGAGAATCTTGAATTTTGTAAGATTAGTCCTTTCAAGAAATTTGTTGTATCAAAATCATGGCTTATGAGGTGAACAAGGCAGGCTATGTACATGGATTGGATGGTAGAAAATGAAGTTGGAGAGGCAGTGAAAAATGGATGGTAGACTTGTACAGTGTTGTAGATATTTTAGGGATAGGGATAGGTACGATTGATTTTAGTATGGTTGTGTACAATTATTGTACTTCTTCGAAAATTTGGTGTACATTTACAGACAAAAAAGGTTGTATTTATATATTTTAGTATTGTACGGATAGAATTTAGAGGTGCAATAAAATTATGTAAGAAATACAACAGTACCAAAATTCTGAAGAGTTTTTTTTTTCTCAAAATTCTATTTAAGTAATTTTTCCTTCTTTTTATTTTTCTCGTTGATTGTTATGGTTAAGATCTATAATTCTATATGTATGCATGTGCATAAAATTTGAATTATTCAACACCAACTCAACTTCTTAAGTTTAGGTAAACGACAATACACACTTCCACCATTAAATAAACTCTCTCGGCTTGAGTACATGTAGAAACCTCAGGAGAGGTAACTGTGAAACCTCAGCATGAATTCTATACCATAATTACATTTGATATTATTGTTGATTAAAGAGGAAATAGATACCACAATGGCTCATAACTTTGCTTGCTTGAAATTTTCTTCACCATCTTTGGCATTTTATGACATGCTGCATGGAAGTGTAACTCTTGATGATGCTATAGGTGATCTGTTCTGAGAGTTTGAGGAATCAATCTTCCAAAACTGCACTTTCCAAACCTGCAAAAATATAGGGATTTTTTTTCATAGGAAGTACATAATTTTTGTTGGTTTTTTCCCACCTATCATATTTGGTTCATATATGTTGTGATTAATTAAGGTAAATATATAGAAGTAGCCTTGTCCTTTATTGACAAATTTACAGAGATGCACACTGTCTTTATTTTTTTAACAATTTAGCACCCAAAAAAATTGCAAATTTATAAATTACTTTTTTCTGTCAAATTTAATTAAACATAAACTTAGTCCTCAAAGGCAAGATGGGTCTAAATTAAGTGATCTGATCTTCATTAGAACTTTTAATTTCAGGTTGAAAAAGGCATACATAGTACCTGAACAGTAGTTTTGCCTGCATTCACCGGAGTAGGCTCAGCGAGCCGAGTAGCCTCGGCGAGCCCAATACCACCAACTTGGGCATTCTTGAGACGGCTAATGCTGAGTTTTATTGTAGCGATTTCATATATGCGAGATAAAAAGGTGATTGGAAAATGTATTAAGAAAAATTGTTTTCCAAACAAGGCCTTAGTTGTTCAATCATTAATTAAGTACTAAAGTACACACTAATTAATTTTTTTTGCGTGTTTTACTATCCTTAAAAAAGTGTTGTATACCAGGAGTACTGAACTTAACCCTTTTTTTTTAGTAAGAAAAATTTTGAATGGATTCTGCTTCTATCACCATCAGGGATCACGATATTGGTCTGGGACAGATTGCCCACCAACATAACGCTTATATCAATAATAAAATTCAAACATACAACTTTTTATGAAAAAAATGATCTATTTTTGTCAATTGAACCAATTTGTAACTGAACTTAGCTACTATCAATAAAAGTCAACTAGTGTTAATTATTCGAACGATGGCTGCTAAAGTGTTTTTGCTCATTGCTTGTTTTACTATGCTAATTAGAAAAACTTGTATCCGAGGAGATGTATTAGAATCTGTTTATGATGCCAATATTTTATTAAAACCTTGGGCCTGATATATTTGCTGCTTTTTTTTTTTTTGGGCAGAACACGCATAATTCTTTTATGTTGAAGACGCTAATTTCTTTTCGAGAACGGTAAAAAACCGGTTCAGTCCTAATAGTAGTTCCTCCATTAGGACTTCTTTCACTTGTGTTTTTTCTACAATTTTGACAAGAATCAATATGACAGATTTTGGCAAACTCGATGGATTCGCATATTTTCAGTTGTCGAAAATTATGTCCACCGACTCCTTTGACTTGTAGCTATATCATAAAAATCCCCATACTTAAAATATACAATTATACCCAAATGAATATATTCAACTTGTGTGTCGTTCAAATAGTACGTCATTCCAAGGAGGGATGAATCAGGTGATTTGGGAGGCGAGAGTGTAAATAAGAGATTTCAAATTTGAACCCTTCTACTTACACTAAAAAGAAAAGTAGTACATCATTCTAAATTTTAAAAAGAAAAAACATAAAATAGAAGATGACAACATCAAAGAAGACTATGATTTTCTTGTATGATTGTGCATATATGATTTGGACAAGTAGACAATTAGATATTTCATCTTCATCTTTTTCTTTTAGAGTTAATATCACTTCAAAGCCTGAAAAATGGAAATTGTTCCGCTGAAAACTCAAAAAAAAAAAAGCACTTTATAGCCTCAGACCAACAATAATGTTAGTACCTTGTCATATATGGTAAGACAGCCTCACAAATTTTAAGACATAAATGCCCCTGTCAAACACTGCCTTTCAAGCTGGTAGTGGTACTCCAAACCACTTACATTGGTAACTGTTAAATGTAAATAACTACTAAAATTTCAAGCCCAAAAGGGTAAAGTGGCCTTTTCACACCTTTTGCCAACTCACTTATTGAAAATGAGCAGATTATTAGTCTCAGGGTACTTATATGTGTTTTAGGTGGGCAAAGTGGAAAAACCCCCAGAGTTCAGGGAATAAATTGCTATTGACCCTTTCTTTTATTTCTTTTGTCAAATGTTCTCTTATCTAAAATGTTTAACCAAAATGTGTTAAACCAACAACTGAATCCATTCCATGATATGTTAAACCAAAAAGCCGGAATCCAAATAACCAAATGGTATAGACCAAAAACATAAATGAGATGAATAAATATAAATTATGTCAGCAAAGCAAGTTGATATTTTGAATTTCAAGAGCCATCAAAAAATTAAGAAATCCATCATTGTAAGTGTCGTCACTAATAGTTTGTAACTTTTTTATTATTCAAGAAGAGAATCGAAGACTCGTAGTGAGGAAGAGGGAATAGTGAGGGCTTGAAGTCGAATCTGAAACTTCATGATCACCTAGTCAATGTCCCTACTAATTAATGCTCGGTTTAGCAAAAGAAAGTGAAATCAACCTGCCAAACTAGTGAATGACATCTTATTGGTTTGCCCTCCGTTTATTAGGTACTGATTGACTAGTCTCCAACCTAAGTACCAAAATAGTTTGAAGCATATCCTGCAGCATCTTCACCTTGCAAATACTCCAATCTGAAAAGACAAATATTGAAATAAAGGGAAAGGAAATCACCACAAGAACAAGAAGAAAATCGAACAAGAATAACAAATATAAAAGATATCAACACTGATGTGATCAAGTCACTATCTCATTAAAGGCCAAAATCTATTCAGCCAGATGCAAATTTGGGCCGAACGTCATCACCTAAACAAATTCATAGTTCCAAAATTAGAATTAAAACATGCGTCTTGCATGCTGAATCGAAGGATTTTATACCTCACAGTGATTCAACTAAAACACCAAGAGACACTAAGAATAATACTAAATTGTAGAAGTAAATGCAATATTGTAGCAAAAGTTTGGGAAGCTCAAGTATTTTGTGTTCTTTAGAAGTCAAAATAGAAGAAGATCAATCTTGGGACTGCATGCATGAGCAGAAAATATTCAATCAATCTTGAACAGCTTGGTACTTGGTTTAAGCATGCACGCAGTTGCACGTCCTAAAAGACTTATTTAAACTAGTGGCTTAGGTCCACCAAATCCATCAGCTGATCAAGAAAGAAGATTGAAATATATAAAACAGATCCTTTCTGTAATTATAGCAGCAAAAAAAAAAATGATAATGGAGACCAAAAAGAATGCAGAAATACCAAATAAAATGATTGATCCAGAAACTGGAATGGTGAAAGTTAAAATTCAAGACAGAGCTCAAATTATTCAACACTCTCTCTTTGTTTCCCAGCTTTCTTTTTCCATTTTTCTGCAAAGCAGCAAGTGTGAGCATTCGGCGTTACTTACTTGACACTGGCCCAAAAAAAGAAACCAATAACCCCTATTTATGCACCATGCAATTGGCAATAATTGTTTCCCCATTTAGGATACATAATTTCACTTCCTCATCTTTTGACTTCAATCAGGTAATGAGCTTCTTTTGGATTTTTAATTCAATGTTCCCTTTTTCAGAATTCTTTTGTTCAATAAAACCAGAAAGGAGTGCATAAGTTCCAGTACACATACATGTCAATAATTGAAATTTGCACAAAAGCCTACTCCACCAGGAAATCTAATAACCAAATAGCCACCCAGGTAATCACCAAGTTTTATGACAATCTAAATGAAATGTAATTCACATAATTAATAAATTTGTAAGCTTTTAACTTCATTACCATCAATTTTCAACTGAAACCCTCAAAATGATGTTGCTCTCCATTTCTGACTGTAGAAAGTAGGCGAGACAAGGCTCTCGAGAAAGCAGCCAACATCTCTGGAAGTATCTCTATTAATGCCAGCAACCAATATTTCCCTTGTAGTTCCATCTCTCAAATTATGAACAACAAGGTTCTGACCATTCTTGTCCAAAACAACATCATCCTCCCCCAATAGACAAATAGGTTTATAATAATGTTCAACAACTTTTGGTATAATAACTCCAAATTTGGTCCAAGATTCTCCAACACCATAATCCTTCATCATCCAAATATCCATCTGCTGACTAGATTGCTCCACAACCATTGCTAGACATCCACCAAGAACAACAAGCTGCTTAGAAGACGCCAATGAACCCCAATTGCGAGTGCTACAACCAGCACTAGGCCATGGCACTTGCTTAAATTCCTCGGTACTCATATCCAAAGCGGCTATAACCTGCGATTCATCAACTCTAGACTGAGCAAGCCAATGCACAGAACCGTTCAGAAACACCCCAGAATGAGTAGTAGGAGCGTAAGGACAATTATAAAGTCTCCTGCAAGTCCCATTCCTCAAACTGAAAACAATTACAAAATTTTCAGAACGCCTAATAGTTGTACCCCCATAAGGCCAGATGATTTTATAGTCATCATTAAAACTATCATAACCGAAAGCAACCCCGGCATTCCCAACCACCAAATTAAATGGGCCCTTTGGTAATCTTAAACGCTCCATGGTTGTGGGGTTTACCAAATACATGGTATCAAGTGCTAGTAAATGTTTGCTGCTAAACTCACGCCTTCTCAATCCATCATTTGCCACCAACACCAACCCATTGCAAGAACCCACAATTCTGGCGCTGCTCAATGTGTTCTCTAAAAGACGGTTGAGCTTTTGTGAAATCCTGGCGTAATTGTTAGGGGAGGGGAAAGTTGTGGTGGAAAAATTGGTCGTGAAGTACTGGAAAGCGGGAGTACTGGAGGAGGAAACGATGATGAGTTTTTCCTGGTCATCGAGGTGGAAGGCAAGGTGGGCTTTGATGAATAGTGGGTCGTAGAGTAGAGAGTGCCATGGCTTCGAAACGAGCCTGAATTTGCCGATGGATTTTGTAGGGAGTCGTAACAGGATGTCAATAATGAGTTCTTGGGGAAGGGGAAATGTCGGGGATAGGTCAGCCGTGGCCACCGGCATCTGGGTTTGATCGAACTTTTCTAGGGACATAGATTAACAGCTAGGGCGGGCGGTGGCGGTGGTGGCGGCGGAGTGGCGCTGCTGGCGGTTGTGGCGTTGTTTTGAGAGTTGGCGAACGTGTGGGCTGACAGGCACTAAAATAGGTGCAAAGTGCAAATCCGGTCAACTTCGGAAAAAAAAAATCCATATTACATTTCTCCAATTGCTTAAAGTATATATAAAAATTAAAATTAAATTCATTAAATTTTACAGCTTTCATTATAGTTTTGATCAATTTTGCACTACCAAAATATTCTATGCAAGTTAAGTGACAAAACATTCATAGATGAGTCCGATTTGAAACGAAATTCTCTTCAATTAACGGGGAGGAGCCTTACAACGTGAGCAATTTAAAGTGACTGTGTGATTTTCAAACCATCATGATAGTTTTATGGTCAAATTCGAGTGTGTCTTTTTATGTTGCTCATGACATAGATGAATAATTTTTGTTGGTTACAGGAATATTAATATGTCCTATCTGTCAAGAAAAAAAATAAAAAAAGAACAAGTAAGAATTTCTAATACTGTTTTTACCCCCCACCGAATTTATTTTTCATTTATATTGTATACATTGTCAGCGTTGGATGAATGACAATTATGTAAAATTTAAATTTAAAATCGAACTTTTACACATATGTCAAGAATCTAATGATAATAGTATATCTACTATCAGTGTATATAAAATTTACTTTATTATTTATTACAAAGCCGAAAAGAAAAAGCTCTTAAGCTTGCAGGAAGACAAGGGATAAGCATATGTAAAATGTTTGTGCATGAATTATTGATGAAAGGGAAATTTAACAACAAAAGATCTACTCATAACTTTGCATGTTTAAGGTTGTTTCCACCATCTACGGCATTTGCTGACATATTGCATCGAACTGTAACCTTTGATGTTGCTAATAAAGATTTGTTCGCAGAATTTGAGGAATCAATCTTCCAGAACCGCACTTCCCATACCTGCCAAGCAGTACCAGAAATGAATACATAAAAAAACCCTCTTAAGATTTTTCCATGATTATGATTGCTCCCTCTAAATATAATCAATGAGACTGGATGTGTGATTGTAATTAGGATGAATTTGTAGTTATTCTTAGTGAAATATAGTAAAATTCTGGTATTTGTATACTTAGGAAAATAAAAGAACCCAAAATATAAACAAATATAAACAAATAAATGGATAATCGCACCCAAAATAAATAAATAGATAATCACGAGCAGCAATGTGAGTATGTGTTGGGAAAATGACAAACAAATAAATTCAAGGCACAATAATAATGAAGGCAAAAATGAGCTAAAAATGTTGGCCAATGGTCTTTTTACTAGAAGATTTACTTCAGTTTTATTCCTCAAAAACCTCACACTACAAGTAGTCTTAGCATCACATACATGTGCTTTTGTGTGTGTGTCTATATATATATATATAGAGAGAGAGAGAGAGAGAGAGAGAGAGGGACGGAGGGAGGGAGGTGATCTATCTCTTAAGTCACCTACGAGTCTATGCAGATTGCAAATTTTTGGAGTTTTTATAGAAGAATACACTGTAACAATATATAGTGTATATAAAATAAAAATGTGATTGAAAAATGTGATAATTGAAATTTTTCTACAAAAATTCGCAATCCAAAGAAGGTTAAGTACAAGAAAAAACATGCACCAACTTGCTAGCTAGCTTAATTAGTATTAAAGAAAGCTTACAACCGAGTCACTATTAATCAAGCATGAGTCGTCTCGACGTCTGATGACCAAAAAAAAACCCAACCAATTACATAATCACAACTAATAGTCAACATTTAACACTACTTGTAAATCACAATAGATACGCTATCATGTAGAAAATAAAACTTGCAACAGACTCCAATTAATCAAATGGCTTGGTTGAATATTTTGCTAACACATTAATTAATGCAAACAAGTTTTACCAAGTATTGTTGTAGTTTACCCCACAAACTCCTAATGCTAACTTTAGTTTCACGCCTCAATTTTCCGGAGTGGCTGAGTATAGATAATGCGTAAAAAAAACAGTGAAAATGGATTGTCATTTGTTTCTTGGGAAAACATTTTCAGCTAAAAAAAAATCAAATTCTAAAAATTTTAGCTTTAAAAATTTGTCTTATTTTTTTAAATAATTTGGAATTTTATGTCATATAATATTGCTAGGATTCATGATATGAGCTGGAAGATACTGTAACACTAAATATGTACCTCGAATCATATGTAAAGTTAAATTATAATTCCCCATTTTATGACATGAAACTTTTGAATATGTCACGAGACTTTTCAAGTTTTGATTTAAAAATCAATCTGCAGAAATGGGAAGAAAAAGAAATGAATTTTTAGCAAAAGATATCCACTCTCTCTTCATTGTGAAGTGGAGATAAAACAGAGGAAGGTTAAATACCTGGGAAAAAGTAAAATTAAGTAAAGCCAAAATGAGCCATAGAAAACCTAAAATCAAACAAAATTATAATTTATTTTTCTGATCTCAAAAGAAAAGAGCAAATAGGAAGGTTAATGCAGAGTTGTATTCCGGCGGCTCTCCGCCTCCCGGAGGCCAAGTAGGCTCCTCTGCTCCCCAGATCTTCAGCTATGAGTGCCGAAACTCCACCATGCAACACCATGAATGGCTGTTCAATACAATTATTAAATACCATTAGTTGCCCAATTTTTCTTTCTTTTTTCATGAACCCATTTATTAAAAAAAAAACTTATTGAATCAAGTGTAGATCACCTATGTTCAATTTTGACTTAAAAAGAAAAAGAAAAAAGCTAACTCATATACGTTAAAGATTAATGGTAATGACAATTGTTAGAGCTAATTTATCTACTTTTTAAGAATTAATTACCTGACAACACTTGGGTGTCACTTGAAACCAACCGCTAACTTTTTCCGGCGAGACATGTTCATCTTGGAATCCAAATACTCCAAGTGGACCACTCGAGTCTTCATTTTCCGATGCTTCCGATGCCGAAGATGGTGGTGGCGGCGGCGGCAGGGGCTTTGGCAAAACCATAGGTGTCTTCCTCCTCTTGTCAGACTAGTAAGATCAACTCTAATGATGCGGGCTTAAGTTTTAATATCATACATCAAATGAAGTATTAATGGATGAAAGACAAGTAGAATTAATTATTCCAAGTTGAATATTAAACTAAGGTATTATCAATGAAAGTTCAACTGATGTCGATTACTCAAACGTTAACTGCTAAAGTACTATTGTTTTATGACAATTACGTTTCAAGTTCAAGTTTCAACCTCTTTTGCCTTGTAGTTATCTCAAGGAAATCCCCCTACCACAAAAATATTGGAACTGAATTTTTTTTTTTTTTTACAAGGGAACCCACAGCCGCTACTTGAGAGTGTGCATTGAATAAATCCCACTCTGTACAATAACCAGCCAACCACACAAAGGAGTAAAACGCACTAGGCAAATCCTGTGCGAAACTCAGTTATTCTAAGAGAAATTCGAAATTCGAACCCGAATTAGCAGGAATACTTGATACTAACGCTACCATTTCGGTCAACTCAAGGGACTTGGAATGAGTTAATATCTAAAACAAACTATTATACACCCATAAATAAATTTACCCTTCAAAGAAGTTCCAATTGTACTTCATTATATTAATGTATACATACACACACATACACGCATACAGATAAAAAGACAACATGAAAAATAGCCGATGTTTCCATGTGTGCTTGTGTGTGTGCATGCTTTGCGCCACTAGACAACTAGACATTTTTTTTTGTTTGGTCAAAAGTTCTCTCTTCCATTACGTTTGACCAAAATGTTTTTAAGGAGCAACTGAATTTATTTACTATTATGGACGACCAAAGGGTCTGAATCTAAAATGTATAGTTGTCTATTGGCACAAAGCATGCACAAACACAAAAACATGGACTATTTTTCATATTCTCTTCTTATAGGTATGTGTGTATATATGTATATGTGTATGTGTGTATATATATATATATATATATGTTTGTATGCATATATACAGACATACATACACATAAGAAGACAACGTGAAAAATAGTGGATGCTTTAGTTTGTGCTTGTGGATGTATGCTTTGTGCCAGTAGACAACTAGACAATTTATTATTATTTTTTTTGGCCAAAAGTTCTCTCTTCTTTTACGTTTAACCAAAATGTATTTAAGGAACAGCTAAATTTATTTACTAATATGGACGAGCAGAGGGCGTGAATCTAAAATATCAAATGGTGTTGACCAAAGCATAAATGTGATGAATATATTTCGGCCTTTAAATTGAAGCAATAAAAAAAAAGAGATTATTTTACCAAATTCATTAGTTTATTGGTGGCCCAGTTGGTTTGTCAAAGTTTTTGAAGAGGAATTCGATCATCGTAATTCGTAAGCGTCATAGCCTGTATAGATCTAACTACTATCCTAGAGTCACTTTATTTCGAAGATCAGTTGGAGAAATATTTTCCTGGATCCTAGTTCCTTGTCTATGAGAATCTCAAGAAACTTTTGCATTTTATGCAGGCATTGGGAATGAGAATATTTGGATTGCAGTACATGTTATTGAAAATGGGTCTGCCTGACGAGTATCCACTGAGTAATACTCGTTAAGATAGTATTAAGGAGTTGATTTTTAAAAAAAAAATTAAATTAAATTAAATGGCAAAACTGTCTAAATAAAAAATAAAAAAATAATTATTAGTATATATATATATATATATATATATATATATTCACATGATAGGTTGAGTATAATTTAAGCGTGCTAATGAATGTTGACTAGACATATCAACCAGAAAAAATTCTTGGAAAATTAGGGGCAAATTGTTGTATCATTCCCACGAACATTCAGAAAGATAATGAATGTCAATGGGAAAAAGTGCTAGGATTACCTTATTGCAAAAAAAACAAAAGCCTTCTAGTAGTTCAGGATAAATCACCAATAATTTCCTTCTGGTTTAGGCATCGTAATTATAAATCACTTGTGGTTTTATAACCTACATTTTATTCCCTTGTGCTTTGGAATTAAAACTTAAGCTCAATAGAAAAAACATATTTTTGAGTTTATGGGAGCCAAATTAATGTTGTAATGCATCTTGAAAACCAATAAAATGGTACTGAAAACATAAATGTGATTTTTCGGCGTTGTTGAATTGATTTCAAGGAGAAAATTTTTTTAATCTTGATCATTAGAAATATTTTGCTTTTTAATAACATGTTTCACATTGCCGACAAGCTGTAACGACCCTTTCTATATTGTGATTTCACAAAAATTCATTTATTTTACCCCTTATCAGTAGTTAGGGAAGGGTTATTAGAGTTTTCCCACTGTCAAATTTAAGATTTGAATTCTGTGCCTGCCAATTGGGGGTGGGAAAGATGCGGGGAAGTGGAAGGGCAAAAAGGGAAAAAGATAAACCCTTTGATTTACCTTTAGTTTATCTTTTAATCCATAGCGCAAGGAGGTTAGTACTAAGTAGGCATTACAACCATGGTGCAAGTGGTATTCTTTTTCTATCCAAATTGAATTCCAAAATATATACTACTCCCTCTATCTCATAAAATTTGTCATGTTTGTCACTATTTATTGTTTCAAATTAATTGTCATCTTAGAGAAACCAACATACTTTTTTCAATGAAATTTTATTTTTACCTTTTATATGACCCACCACTTATTTCTCACAACTATCAATACATCAAATAAAAGATGGTCCGCCACAACGGATATAAAAGGAAAGTAAAAATTCTTTTTCCTATTAAGATCACTATACATAAATTGCACGTTCTACCAAAAATGATAAATTTTGCGGAATGGAGGGAGTACTAAGTTGATCTATATTAATTGCTGAAAGAGCTAACTCTGTTTTCACTGCAACTTTGGCTACCAATTTGATCCATGCAACTAAGAATATGGGCTAAAATTATATCTTTTCTCTTCTATGTTATATTTGTTAAATAGCGAGTGTCATATATTGGAAGGATTTTCAAGTAGTTCCTTTGTTGTTTTACCTGCAGTAAATCGGACAAGTGGAAACTGGTCTAATTGACCAATTAATATTCGAAAATTATGATCTCAATCCAAAACAGGAAGAATGAAACGGAAAGACATTATTAAATAGCCAAAAGAAAAAAAAATTTCATGACAAAGCCAAAAAAAGAAAAGAAAAGAAAGGGATAAGCATTAAAACTGAAATTCTTCCGCATGGGTTGTTGATAAAAGGGAACTATAACCAAAAAAAAAAAAAAAAAAAGCCTTATAGCTTTGCCTGCTTTACATTGTTCTGACCATCTTTGGCATTTCCTGACGTATTGCATAGAACTGTAACACTTGATGATGCTAATAAAGATTTGTTCCCAGAACTTGTGGAGTCAATCTTCCAGAACCGCACTTCCCATGCCTGCCAAGGAATTAACCAATTCATAAAATCTTTCCATAAGCTTGATTGACCCAAAGTATAATTGATGAGAATAGATATGTGATTGTAACTAGGATGAATTTCTGGCTATTCTTAGTGAAATAAAGTGGAATTATGCTAATTGCCTTCCTGGAAGTATAAAAGAAGCAAATTCCATGTTATTGGAGAACCATCACCCTACCAAAACTTGTATGCTTGTTAAGTTCTCTGCGCATACAAGGATTTATAGAAGTGAGTTTGCTGAAAGCATGAAATGAGTAAGGGCAAACGATCCAAACAGTCGTTCAACTTTTTTGCACTGAACTACTTTAATTAAGCATAATGTTAGGATTAATCTTTCCTACACTGACAGTGTGTACACTATCAACGTTGGATGAATGATAATTATGTAAAATTTGAATTTGAAATTCAACTTTTGTACACATGTCATGAACCCAACGATAATATTGTATACACCGTCAGTGTAAGAAAGATTTACTCATGATGTTATCCCTTGAATGTTGTCATAAAGCCAATTTCGTCCGTCCACTTAAAATTGGGACAATTAATTATATCCCTTAATTTTTGTCAATTTGGTTTGTTAATTCATTGCATATAAAAAGATAGATAAAAATTTACATAAATTCACATTAAGAAGGCAAAAATGCATGCAAAAAATTTTGCCCAACTAAATTGCTTACAATACATCTGACTCCTTCGAATTCTCAAGACTAATTCGGGCCCTTAATTTTCTACTGTAGGATAGTATACGATTAATGTATGAAATGTATGAAAGGTCATTAATTTCTAATGTACCATTTGAAATGTATGAAATGGGCCCTCTTCCTCGATCTGTATTTTTTGCATGTTTCTATGCTCTTTTTTTTTTTTTTTTTTGCTTTTTTGCCTATTTAAAGACTTGGATTAGCCTACATGAATTAATGACCTTACTCACGTTTAAAAAGTCGGAGAACAAATTGAGTCAATAATAGAAGTTGATGGTTGACATTATGCCAAACTAAAATGGAGGGATTAAATTGGCTCAATAATAAAAATGAAGCAACAACACTCTTCCAAAATAAAGTCGAAGGACCGACAACAGTGATAATGGATTGCTCATTTGTAATACTTCTAAAAGATTTTCAGCAAAAGGAATCAAATTTAAAAGAATTTGGTTTAAAAAGTCCTCGTTTGTCTTAATTTTTTTTCTTTTAAAGACTGAAATGTTACGTTATATGACATCATTGCCCTGTATCTACAAGGGAGGGTAAGTATATAAATGTAAGGAAGAATAATTATAATTGTTCGTATATGTATATACATGATAAATTAGGCAACTATTAGGTGTGTTAACCAATATGGTTAAACTCAGATCGGATAGCAACCCGTCTAATTTACTGGGTCGAGAGTCAACTGGTCAGATCGGTAGGATCGTTCTAAAAAACCTCTGACGTCAACATGATATTATAATTATTTTATATTTTTATAAGTTTTAGAAATATTAAAATAAGTTATTGGTTATATTTGGCCAATCATGAAAAATGTTCCAAAAATATTATACTTACAATCAAATATACACTTAATAATTACAGATAAAAATGTAAATTCATAGTTAAAATATATCCGTTTTCCAAAACTACTTAAGAAACTAAATTAAAACAAATTAATGCAAGTTGGAATCACCGATGCTAAATTAATGAGATCATAGAGATGAAAACATCTTGATTTAGAGATTATTTAGGAAAGCGAGTAATTTTAATATTTATACTAAATGGATGACGTTTTCTTATTCCTATTAATAAATGAAAGTGTTAAAATTTAGATAATTCAAATTATATTTGGAGAAAAGAAAAAAGAAAAGTTTGAGAACCGGATCAACCAGACAAATCGAGTTATTGGTTCAGCTGATCTTTTATGGTTTGATTGGTTTTTTACCAAAGCTTCAAAAAAAAAAAAGATCAGTTCACGGTTGGACCGATCATACCAGCTGATCCGATCTGAACCTAACAACACTAATGTTAACAAGTGTTCAACAGAGACTCGTTAGAAAAACCTTATATATAATTGGGAAACTCTTGTACACCCTCGGGCAATCTCCTCCATGTATCATCCTTGTGATTTAAATTGATTGCCTCTACTCGTCGATGTCTAAGATTCACGTATATCCACTTTGTCTCCATTGTGAAATGGAAAGAAAACAAGGGAAGGTTATAGAGAATTTGATATACGTGAGGAGAAAAAAGTAAAATTTTAAGCAGTGCCAAATTTTAGCTGACGAAAAGCAAAACAAAGAAAGTGTAATTTGAGGCTGTTCTTGCTTATCTCAAAACCGAAGTGCAATTTTATTTTCATTACTTTAAATTTTATATTATTTAACTTTCTCATTGCTTATGTTTCCTTATCTTTTCTTTTCTCACATTGACAACTAATTTCATGTCCTTTAAACCTGAATATACTAAGACATTGGCTCCCATATTCAGTTAATTTGTCAAATCGTAAGAGCTAAACTTTTTCCTAGTTTTTCAACAATTAAATATTAATTAATATTGGTTTGAGGCAGAAAAGTGCATTTCAGAGCAAAGTTTTTTTTTTTTATCTAGAAAAAGTTTCTAGAATAGTACTGTAGTACTCTTTTGAAATTTGATGTATATAACATAAAGGTTATGGATTTTAATACCTCTGTCCCCTCTCTACTTCGTAAATCTCACCTCTTCCTTACTAGAATTTTTAAAAAAATTTTTTTTTGATGCATATGAATGAAAATGGTAATTATAAAAAATTAAAAAATGTGTTTATCATACAACCAAAAAAGTTAATTTTTTTTAAAAAATTTTTACTATCCAAACAAACCGACGTACTTGAATGGTGGTGCCAGGATTGAGAGGAGTGGCCTCAGCTTGCACAATGTCACCAACTTGTGCTCTCTTGAGATGGCTAATGCAGACTTCTATTCCGGTTACCTTTCGCCTCCCGGAGGCTAAGTAGGCTCCCATGCTGCCTAAATCCTCAGCTATGAGTGCTGACACCACACCATGCAATGTCCCAAATGGCTGTTCAATCCAATGATCAACCATCATTAATTTCACAATGATTTCCTTTTTCATTTTTTTGATGAATTTATTTGGGAAAAAATGAAGAAAACTACGTCATGTACCTCGATGATTAATGGCAACGATGATTATTAGAATTAATTTATTTAGAGTGAATAACTAATTACCTGACAACACTTAGGTGTCACCTGAAATCTGCCACTAACTTTATCTGCCGAAGCATGTTCAAGCTTAAATCCAAATGGTCCAAGCGGATTACTTGGACCAAGAATGTTTGATGTTCCTGATCCTGGTGCCAGTGAGGGTGGCGGTGGCAGTCACGGTCGTGATTGTGGTTGCAGTGGTGGGGATTTTGGCATAACCATTGGTGTCTTCCTCCAACCACCAGCTTTTGGGTTGGTGACCACCACCAATGCATTAAAGTTTGGTGAGGTGGAAGGTAAGGGTTCACATTAAAAAATGACTTGCTTAAAAAATTTAGATGGTCTAGTGGTGATTCAATCCCCTTCGGATTACCTTTGGACCTATTCAGATTCTTCTCCTCTCCTAATATAGAATAATCTATCGATCGTATCGACCAAAAAAAAAAAATTGATGTCTTCCTCCTCTTATCAGACTGATAAAATTAACTCTAATCATTTGGGCTTAAGTAGTAATCTTTGAGACACTAAACCTAGGAACTATTAGACGAAAGTCAATTGGTATGAATTATTCAAACATTAACTGCTAATTGGACTACAAATGCTGCCTCGTTTTTAATATAGCCTAAAGAAAATGTCGTAGAGGCCCAGATGGATTAAACTCTCGGGTGTTATTAATGAAAGTGAACTAGAATTAATTAATTATTCAAACGTACTTGACTGCTATTTTTCTGCTTAAAAAAAAAGGGTTGTATCTTGTATATGCATAGATTGATTATCATCTATTTATATGATATCTTTGAGCATGCAATCAATTGGTGCTTTTTTTGCAGAATATTCTTGATTGTTCTTTTGGCAAATGGAATCAGTAAAACAGATTCATCCTCACATAACTATAAGACATTCTGTTACCATATTATATATTGAGGGTTCCTATGTAGAGTTCAACATTTTGTCACCATATTATATTCTTGATGGTTCTTCGATTTGGACTTCTTCTTTCCTAATGATTTTGTTCAGGTCCAAAGTTCCAGTCAATGGTCAAGAATCAGTTTGTAGAGTTGATAAACAAGACAGAATTAGGTTTTCTGTTGCCAATTAGATGAATATATTAATCTAATTTGCATATGTCTCCCACGGAATCTTAATAAACCAGCTAGTAGCCTAGTACTGTTAGATGATGTGAGTTTTTCTAACATGGATATATTCCAATGGTACTAAATTCTGAAAATACATAAGAAGACCAACAAAAAACAAAAAAAAATCCACCCGTTGGTGTGTGACTTGTATACGCTTTTTTTTTTCGTGCCGGTAGACATTTAGATAGTTTATCTTTTTTTTTTGGGTCAAGTGTTCTCTATTCTAGTATGTTTAGTCAAAATATGTTTTTTATTCCCCCAATCCAAAGAGGATCAATAGTTGTCCCCAAATTGTCCCTTTAATTACTCAAATTTAAAATCTATCAGCTACAAATGAAATGTCTTATCAACAAAATTGGACTCAATTCTGAGTCAAAATATGTTTAACCAACAATTAATCCAGTTCTTAATATTGTCGCGCCCCATTTTTTTTGAAAAATAATAAAATAAATCTAATGTATTTAGGTATTAGAAAAATGTATTTTTTGATTTGAAAAATGAGTTCTTTATTTTATAGAATAAACAAAAGAAAAAGGGTCTAAAATGGAACTTGAAAAAATGTGATGATTTTGGCCCAAAATAAAAGTCTAAAAAGGGTTTTTTAGGAAAAAAAGGAATCGCCACTTGGTATCGAATTTAGGTGTACCAAGTCACCTAAAATTGAATTTTAAATAAAAAAAATAGATAAAACCCTTTTTAGATGACTTCAGGTCTTTGGAAACAAAAGAAAGGGCTCGAAAGTCATGGTTGAAGCAAGGGAAGATAAGGATAAAATCCAAAACACCTTTTCGACCTAGCTAAGACTAGTTGCGAGTTTTAGTCGAAAAGTTTTTCTAATCTAACTTATAGACTTATCACGTTAGGATGTTTTTACATGGATGCATAACGTAAATCTAGGAGGATATCGGAGGGTCGGAATATCTTTTCGAAGTTTAATTGGTGCCAATCGCATTAATTACAACGCACAAGAATGATTCTTTGAAGAGGTAAAAACCCAGAAAACAAATAACCAAAACCCAATCAAAAATAAACAAACTCACCATCAAAACCCAATTAAGTTAAACCTGATCCAATTCTCATCTAAATTTTTGTATTAAAACCCAACAAGATAATAAAATAACTAAAAATTATTAAAACCTAATTATACCATAAAATCCAGAATTAATCTACCCAACAACTCACTGAAAATATAAAAGGAGGATTAAAACTTAAAAGGGCAAATTGGTTCAAATATTCATATTTTGGGCCATAGTGAAATTCGTTAGAAATTTGGGGGCAAAAGTGTAAATTTCTTAAGATTTTTCATGCAAGCTTCGCATGCTTCCTTTCTTCTGCAACTTTTCTGCGTCTTCATGTCAAAATAGAGAGAACCAAAATCCAAACAAGCCTCGAACTTTCAAACCAAGACAATGATATCACATAATCCTATCATCAACATCCGACCTTATTACATAATTATCATATCTTTAATCAAAATCAAAGCAAGGACCTGAGCTAAATGATGCACAACAGGAAGAACAATATCAAAGGATGAAAAGGCAAGCAACAGTACAGGAAAGCCTTGATGGATTGGGTTAAGATTTAAGCTTATATGGAGATGAAGCAAGCAAAAAGAAGCTACCTTTTGATGAGAGGATGGAATAAACTGTTAGGATCCAGACGCGGAATAAACAACTGTTGAGATATCAAGTACACAACAATTTAATGATAAACAAACCACAAATATAAAAGATAGACGACACATAACATTTAAAGTGGTTCGACTCTATTATTGAGCCTACATCCACGGAAAGAAACCCATTCTTTATTATGAGAGGAAAATCCTATACAAGAATACAACTTGAACCCAAACCCAACCCTTGTATACCATTTCTCATCTCCCAAGAACCCTCTCTCTGCCTTTTTGTTTGCTCCTTGTGTGTCTCTTTGTAGTATGCCAACCCACCTATTTATAGAGAATATTATTTGACCAAAATACCAAATAATAATAAGAAATCAATTCTATTTTCTAGACTTGTACAGAATAGGAAATAACTTCTAATTCTAAACTAAATAGAATATTCCTTGGCACTACTTCAAGTAACTAAAATCAATTAGGAAACTAGTTACTTCTATACAAAACAAGAATTCTACCTAAAAAAATTAAGCCAATTTCCTAACAATCTCCACTTTGGCGAAAATTTCTTTTAGTAACCATTTGCCTTCAACTACAAAATAATATGATACCGAACTATACAGCCGAATCAATATAATCCCGATACCAAATTGATTCAATTGGCAAATGAACATGTGTTGTTATCCGGAGTCCAACCTCCAGTTGAATTGTCAGAAAGTATCTCAATTCACCATCTCCCTTTGCAGGATTTCTTCTCACAACCACTTGTAATTTGGGATCCCCTTTTATGAGATTTAACCCTAACCATTGAGGCAACCAAGTGGTAAAATCACCATACTTCTTTCTATCCTCAGGATTGTCTCGCCATGTGTGGTTTCCAAAACTCCATCTAAAACGAAAATCTCGTAATTGTCAGAGTCTTCTGGCGTATGGAAATTAGATCTCCTTGTTTCTTTGGGACACGTGCCACACCATCCAAAAAACATAACCGAAATCTAAAATCACCAGGGTGAAATATCAATCGTTGGATGTGTGAGAAAGTCTCCAATGATTCACGGCCAAAATCAACATTGGACTCCACCTTTTCATTGATCCTTGAATCACCTGCCTAGATTCACTGCCAAGCTTCTCCATGCTTTTTGACTTTCCATCCTTCACCATTAATGCTTTTTACCAAGCTATTAAAAACAAGGATATTACTCATTAAATTGTTCAATTAGTAACAACTACCAATTCACTTGATCTCAATAATTAATCAGGATCCAACCACAAAATTTTCTCTATTGCCCAGTCTCGCAACCTGAAACTCTGATACCACTTGTTAGGATCCAAGAGTGGAATAAACAACTGTTAAGATATCAAGTGCATAATAATTTAATGATAAACAAGCCATAAATATGAAAGATAGATGATACAGAATATTTAACGTGGTTCGACTCCACCATTGAGCCTATGTCCATGGAGAAAAATCCATTCTTTATTATGAGAGGAAAACCTTATATAAGAATACAACTTGAACCCAAACCCAACCCTTGTACACCATCTCTCATCTCCAAAGAACCCTCTCTCACCTCATTTATAAGGCTACATGATGCCTTTTTGTGTGCTCCTTATATGTCTTTTTATAGTATGCCAACCCACCTATTTATAGAGAATATTATTTGGCCAAAATACCAAATAATAATAGGAAACCAATTCCGTTTCCTAGACTTGTATAGAATAGGAAATAACTTCTAATTCTAAACTAAATAGAATAATTCTTGGCAACTACTTCAAACAACTAAAACCAATTAGGACACTAGTTACTTCCACACAAAACAAGAATTCTACCTAAAAGAAATTAAGCTAATTTCCTAACATAAACTTCGAAGGAAGATGAACCTAAGAGCGGTAAAGTGAAGCTGCAAAACTTCCAGGAACCCACTTCAAGACTGATGATACGATGACTTTCGGCCCAGATTTGAGAGACATGCAAGCATTTTTTTTTCAAATATTTTCTGAATAAAAATTGTTCCCTGATAAACGTAGATGGCACAGATATAAAAAACACATCAAAGGAGTAAAACTGAGACAAGATTTGGCTCACCAATTGAGCCAAAAAATCAGCCCTAGCTCATGTTTTTCCTCAAAAATTTTTTGCACTTTCGTTTTCTTTATTTCTCTCAATTTTTTTCTTTTTCTTTCTTGCTCTGCCACCTCTCTACTCCCTCTTGTTCTTTTTTTCAGCCTTTCTTTTGCTTTTAAATGCCAAAACCACCTCTCAAACCCTAGAAACAAGGGTGGATATGAAACCTGCTTTGAGGGCCATTTTTTATCCCTTGGATCCTTTTTCTAGGTGTCTCAAGATGACATTAGGAAAGATTAGCTGTCCATGTACTTGCTCAAACGTGTCGGACAACGAAAATGGGAGCCAAATATAAATTTGAACAGGAAATTAATTTAAGTTTTGCAAGTTTAAAATTAATTAGTGCTTGATTTGGAGGATATGAATATCCCGTATTTACCTGAAGAAATTGGTGAAGTTAATCTTCTAAGGTATCTTGGTTTAAGAGGGACAGAAATCAAAAGGCTTCAAATTGCTTTATAGGTTGCTTGCAAAATCTGCAAACTCTTGACATTCGGTAGTGGAGGTACCAATGTGTTATGGAAGCTTAAAAATTTTGCAGTAAGTTTTATGTCCATGACACCAGTCGAGGTGTACCACAAAAGTTTGAAACATTGAAGAGTCTTTGAACTCTATGCAATGTGCATCTTGATAGATTGATAGCAAATTAATGTTGCTAACTGGTATGAGGAAATTTTCTGTGTGGAATGATAAGTGACTAATTTACGTAATAATTGTATGATATTTTATATTATTTTTAGTCACTTTGGTTATATTATTGGAAAAAAAAGAATCTTTTTGGCTATAAATGGTGAAAAATACTTATAAGTGATTAAATGAGATTTTTATCACTTTTTACTTGGATTTTGTGTATTTTGACAGTTTTGACACATTTTCGTATTTTGGCTATAACTTGAGCTACAATGATTGGATTGAAATGATTCTTAAACCAGTTTGAAGATAAGAGATAGATCTACAACTTTGGTGAAGACATCTGAATCTAGTTTGAAGGTTTTCCAGGTCAAAAAGCTGAATTACTGTAGCTAATTTCCATTGGTAGAAGTTGAAACAGGGCAATGAGCAATCAAGGGTATTTCGGTCATTTCTCAGCCTACGCAGATCCAAATGAGGTGATTCTTGATGCATTGGAAAGCTAACTCAAAGGGCTACAAGTTTCATGTTTTGGTCAATAGCTAAATCAGCTTTTATCATCAAGAAAAGTTCGGTTGAAATTGATGCAAAATCCGAGCAGAGCTGGAAATTGAACAAAAGTGTACCAAAGTGGCACTGTAGCAATCCGGCCAGAATTTGGCCGGATTTCTGGCTGGATTGTGGTCAGAAAAGGCTGCTATGTACGCGTAAAACTCAATTTCACCTCCACCAACTCATATGTGATGCTAGCCATGTGAGAAACATTCCCAGATGTAAAAGGGAGGTGTAAACCTCAAGTCTTGACCAATCTTTCATCTTTATATAGCCAAATTCATTGCAAGATGGAGGAATAGAGAGACATATGGGAGAAACTTGGAGTGCAGAGATGTAGCTCTTGAATTTTCTGAGTAGTGCAGTAGGTTAGTAATTAGTAGAGTGTCATCCATTCTTGTTTATTAGCTAGATGAAGAAGAAGATGGAGGATGGAGAAGGCAAGGAGATGAACTCATGTGACAAGGGTTACATTCCTTCCAAACTCTTTATCTTTTGTATTTGATTCCAAGTTTGGTTAATATACAAGTTCTGAATTTTGTGTTCATTATGTGTCTTTAAAGTTTATACCTTGGGTTTGGTTGAATTTTCTATGATTGTTAGTGTTTATTATTTGGTTATTTGATTGCTATGATTTGAGCAAGTTATTTAGCACTTTGGCTCTTTAAATCATGATTAATCTGGTACCATTGATTGTGATTATCTAAAGTGTTGTTTCTGCAATGAAAATTGAGATTTAACACTGGTTCAAGAAGTGTTAAACATAGGGAGTAGACTCACGAAAGTAGAGGTGCACTTATGTGATTTTTAGTGATTCATTTCATGTAATTTCATTGAAGAAATAAACTTGTAGCTAATTTCATAACCATGAGAATAGGTGTGGATTAGTTATAAGTATAATTGATTCACTACGAAAGTAGGATTCAAATGCATAAGGAAATTACACCATAACTAGCTTAGATGTAGTACTCAATGATCCAAATATAGCACTTGCATGAGTAGTTAGGGATACCGCAACCTAAGGAGCTTTTATTTGTTATTTTGTATAATTTCAGTAGGTTAAATTTGTTATAATTCATTGGTAGTCTAAATAATAGAGAAGATTTAGTAATGCCGGTAATTGTTCACTCTTCCCTATTCAAGAACAAAAATAATTAAGTTAATCATGATGAAGAACTTATTCAAGAAGACTTCCAAATTTTAGTCTTTAAGAAGACGGGATTTGTGAAGCGGTGACTTCTTATTAGAGATATACAATACAATTATTTAGGTAACAAAATAAAAATCGATTAAAGATGTTTATAAATTTATAATATATATTACACCGATCAATATTATAAATTTATTTTTCTTAATGTGTAAAACATAGAAGAATTGAAGGGACAAGTATGAAAATGAAAACAAATAGATAGTTCAACTGAAAGAATCACAAAAATAATAATAAGATAATAGGATAACATGCACAATGATAAATCATAAAAGCAAGGATAACAAAACCATTTAAAAAAAAAACAATTCGCCACTGCACTTGCTAAGCTAAGATAAAAAACGAGGTAAACAGGTAAAAGGCCCAATTTGCACGTGGTGGACCAAATAAAAAATCCTTGAAGTAATGTTGCAAACCCATTCTAGGCCGAAGGATCCATAAGCCGACAGCCTGATTTTTTTGGGCTGAATAACGAAAGAGGTGTTTTTTAGCTCTTGACCATAAAAGGGCTCGAGCGACTGGTTTTCTAGTTGAATTGCGTGGGTTGGATTTGGTTTCAAAACATTCAATTCAAGAGTTAGATATGTCAATTTTTTAGCGTAAAATTATTTATTAAATGAATAGGATTTAAAACTCGAAACCCAAGTATATAAAGTTCTGTGGTTAAAGTATAACAACATATTAATTGGGGTATTGTTTAAATAATTTTAAACAATAGGTGATCAAAATGTAAATAATTCAATATGTTTTTTGTTCTCTAAGAGATTGCCCCCTTATAACTTGATTTACACTTTGGTTCCAAAATTTCAAAGTGGAATTCCTTAATCACTTAAGAAAAATTCATCTCACTTTAGTCTCTAAAGTATAAAGTCTATCCCAATTAAGTATAAAATCTATTTCACTTTAACGATCAAAATATAGAACAAGTAAAGAAGAGTTTATGCTTTAGGTTAGGGACTAAAATAGGACAAGTTTTACTTAAAGTGGAATAGATTTTATACTTTAGGTACTAAAATGTTTAGGAATCAAAACGAGAATTTAGGTATATTTTAGTTTATACCTTAGTTTAGGCCTAGCACTTTCTTCGATATATTAGTATTGAAGATTTAGTCATGGACATACACAAGAAATTGAATGGATTTCAAAGTATTAATGCCAAGAAAACTTTGGAATTTGACCAAATCCGAGCTAAGAGTTAGCTTTGCGCAACCTTGGATAATTTGATAATAAATTGGCGTAGAGAAATCAAAAATTGACTGTTATTAACAGCATTTGACGCTAGAAAATTTATGCTTCCTATCAATACTAGAAAATCGAAGTTGACTGAAGATCCAACTCTGTACAGCGGTATTGGGAATATCCTGAATGCTGACTTTTTGAGCCAACATAGGCGAACTTATTGTTCGAAATAACAACATTGTGTTCTACAGATTATTATTGTTATTATTATTTTCAGTCTAATTTCGAGCGGCTCCATTTTTATAGTTATTTGACATGTATAGCTTTAGTTATTCAGGCGCTGCTAATGCTGGAAATCATAAACAGGCAGCCCTGTTTATGAGTTTTTTACTCAATGAGATGGTTATATTCTGAATCGATTCTTAGTCTGCAAGCGGTATCTTAAAAATTGATTTGATTGTTATAGGTGAAGATTAAAGAAAGTTGAAGTGACTCCTTTAATATCTCTATGGTTTTAACTTTGGCGAATGAACTATATGGAGAGAGAGAGAGTTACTTGCAGGATTCTTTGATATACAAGATTGAAGATCCCTTTCTACCAACAATTCGTCCCATTTTTTCAGCTGGGACGGTGAGCACTGACAATGTCTCCTGCTCTGGAGCATTTCCCTCACTGAAGAAGTCTGGTAGAGGAAAACACATAATCCTGTCCATCAAATCCATGATTCACACAGCGCCTAACCTCTAGCAATTAAGCACATGAAACAAGTCTCTCAACGCAGCTAGAAAATGAACTACACGACAGAGGAATGAGATATACATACCCATTCCTACATCTGAATGTCCTAAATGTAGTCCAAAGTTCTACATATGCTTGTCCCTCAGGTATTACTGCAAAGAGGTCTCGGGCTATTTTGTCATGAATGCAGGAATTGGGTTCCACACAAGCTTCAATATTTTCTTTTACAGTGCCTTTAATTTGTGATGAGAGAGAGTCAAGCCTTAAGTCGACAGTATACAAACAGGCTCTGTCTCATATCTTGCAATCAACTAGGCAGCTCTATTACGTGGTTGTTCTGAGCTACCAGATATTACATTTTTCAATTTAACATGGTTAACAGGTACATTGAGATTTAATTATCTTGCAACCCTTATGTCAATGTACTGCAAAGGATTTCTATGAAATCTTTCAAGGCATTGTGATTGGTGACACCGCAATAGATTTCATCACCAATAATGTGGAGTGTTGATGAGGCCAGGCTTCCACTCTGACCCACAAAAGGAAAAGCAGAGGTAAATGTTGAGGTAGGAATTCTTTGCTCATGTTCTTTTTTCCACTATAAAGATAACTTGTTCATGTTCTGTTGAAGATTCTTATCTTCACAAACTATTAGGAGAAAGCTGAAAGTTTAACAGAAAGACAAAGAAACGAATTTGATATATGGTATTAAAGAAGCTGGCACTCCAGGTTAAGAGAGGATTGAATTCTGGGCTGCTTTACGATTCTTAAAAGAGCAGGGTAAAAAATTTGGACTAAAGAAACTGTATAAGCTATTGTTGTTTGAACCTGGAAACATGGCATAAAGTTGATTGTAGCCTTTTGCGTACCAAATAATTTTTTATAGGGTTAATCACATTTTATCCCATTAAAGAATACCCCATTTCTCAGTTTACTCCCTAACCTTTAATTTTGTTCACTTAACCCCCTTTAGGACAAAATTGCCCTTGCATTATTTTGACTTTTCATTTACCTTATTTTCCTTTCTTTTATTTCTTTTTCTCTTTCTTCTTTATTTAATTCTTCCTCTTTCTCACAAAAATTTTCACCTTAATGATTGAAATTAAAAAAGAGGAATTGTAGAGATCTATCTTTTCCTTAAATGATTAAAAAAAATTCAAATCACTTTCCTAAAATACAATTTTTTTTAGCCTTTCAATTCTTTTAATTTTGGGTTTTCCTCTTTCCTTTCTAGTTTCTCATTTTATTCCCAAGAAAATATCTTAAGATGAAATTCTGACCTGATTAATAATTATCAATTGAAATTTGTGACACGTGGCATCATATAAAAAATCAAAATTAGTTTTTGATGTCTTTTAAACCTTCGCCCAAAAATATGCGATTACAAACTCAAAACAAAAATTTTTGTGGAAATCGAATTTTCTATTGGGAAGGATGATAGAGAGAAGAAAGAGAAAAAGAAATAAAAGAAAGGAAAACAATTTCATCTTATGATATTTTCTTGAGAATAAAATGAGAAACTAGAAAGGAAAGAGGAAAACCCAAAATTAAAAGAATTGAAAGGCTAAAAAATTGTATTTTAGAAAAGTGGTTTGAATAGTTTTTTGATCATTTAAGAAGAAGATAAATCTCTGTAATTCCTTTTTTTTAATTTCAATCATTAAGGTGAAGATTTTTGTGGGAAAGAGGAAGAATTAAATAAAGAAGAAAGAGAAAAAGAAATAAAAGAAAGGAAAACTAGGAAAATGAAAAGTCAAAATAATGCAAGGGCAATTTTGTCCTAAAGGGGGTTAAGTGAGCAAAATTAAAGGTTAGGGGGTAAACTGAGAAATGGGGTATTCTTTAAGGGGATAAAATGTGATTAACCCTTTTTTATATGGCACTCTCCTAAAACAAGCAATCTGCCCGTCTTTTTTCTGTTTTTTGAGAATTTCCCATGTCTCACAACCTGACTAATGTAAATCCATTTAAATCAAAACCTGCTTGCTTTTGACTGGAGTAGTTGCTCTTGTTTAAGAAGCTGAAGGACAAAACTGGAAGGAAAAATGGGACTATGGAATCGCAGGTCTCTTCTAAGATCAGTCAGAACAAAACGACAACTGGACCATTGGCAAATATTCGATTCAGTAAGCAGGAGGGTGAGGTTGGAGACTTGGAATCATCCTCTGTTTGGATTGTAAATTATTTGAAATATTTTTACTGTAGTACTTTTTGTGATGTGATGTCTGTGAGATAAAAAGGTAATTGGGAAGATAAAAAGGTGTGTTGGAAATTGTAATGATGATGTAAGCAAATAAATTTTGGCTAATAAATCTCTATCCAAACAATTGCTAAGTTTGAGAAATTCCATTTCCACCTGTAAATTATATCATATAATATGTTCTTCATTGTTGTAATTGGGTATGTTGATTGGCTAAACAAACTTCTTTCAAAATCTGCAAACTTTTAGTAGGTATAGTAGCCAAGTTGTTAAGCCAAATATTGACAATATTGTAGGTACCATGCTAAACATCTTTCATTTAATTTGGTTTTATTTACTTATTTATTTTGGTCCGTTCTCAATGAAAGCAGGAAATCAAGTTTAAGAAAGAAAAAGAAATTGACAATCAAGAAAAAGGCAGAGGTAAATGATGGAAAAATCAAGTTGAAGATTGAGATAGGAAACTTGCACCACCTTTTTTCCCCCTCTATAAAGGTAACTTGGTTATGTTGTGTTGAAAATATGCTAAAGGTAACTTGTTATCGTGAAATCCCCTACCCAGTGCTTGAAAAGCAGAGTTAAAGAACATATGCTTGGAATCATCTTTTACGCACAAACTGAATATAGATTTCTTGTAAATTCATTGATTCCTTACCTACCGACAAGATATACGGTCTTTCCATTAGCCACTTCTGCTTTATAAAAAATGTGTAGAAAACAGATGCAGGTGTTAATCTGGCTTTGCAACTGCACTTGAAAGATAAGAGCCTCTCCTCCATTTCTGGTTCTTACCCTTTTATTGAGAAGCAAAGCTCACTTTACCAGGATGGCAGACCCTGTTATCTCTTCTGTAATTGACTCTGTTATCTCTTCTGTAATTGAGAGAACTGGCGAACTGCTGATTCAAAAAATTGTTTTCCTGAAAGGCGTTCGACGACAAGTTGAGACACTTCAAAATGATCTGGTCCGGATGCGGTGTTTCCTGAAAGATGCTGATCAGAGGCAAGATGAAGATGCGAGGATCCGCAACTGGGTTTCTGAAATCAGAGCCGCTGCCTACGATGCGGAGGATATCATTGAGATCTTTGCCAGCAAAATTGAAAGTATAAAAGATAAGGGATTTGTGACTAGATTGGCATATTATCCCTGGCGGATTGTGAGCCTTAACAAGATCGGTAAAGAGATTGAGTCCTTACTGACAAGGCTCGATGACATAGAGAGGGAAAAGTTTGGTATAAAAAATCTTGGAGAGGGAACGAATACACATGGAGAAGAGCTTCAACGGCTCCGGCGGTCCTCTCCTATCAGCGAGGACAAGGATATAGTGGGCTTCGAGGAGATAACAAAATCCCTGGTGGCAGAACTTTTGAAAGATGACAGAAACCGCCGTGTGGTTTCAATCATCGGCATGGGAGGTGCTGGTAAGACAACTCTTGCCAAAAAAGTTTATAACCATGCTGACGTCACGAAGAGATTCAAGTGTCGTGCTTGGGTATGTGTCTCTTCAAGCTATGATCACAAAAAGATACTGAAATCAATCATAAAGCAATTAAATCCAAAGGATGACAAGCTATCTAAAATGTTGGAAAAGATGGAAGAGGAAGAGTTGGAAGAAAGGCTGTATAAAGATCTACAAGACAAATGTTGTCTTGTGGTACTTGATGATGTATGGAAGGAAGCAGGGTGGGATTGTCTTGCCAGGAGGGCCTTTCCTGATGTTGGCACATCAAGTAGAGTGCTACTTACAAGTCGCAAACGGGATGTTGCCCAACACGCTGATGCTTATAGTTATAGACACCCGTACGAGTTGAAAACTTTGGGGCAGGAAGACAGCTGGCAGTTGTTTCTCAAAAAGGCCTTAGGCCATGGAGCTAATGCTGGGTGTCCTCCGGATTTGGAAGCAGTAGGCAGAGAGATTACCAGAAGATGTGGTGGTCTGCCGCTGGCCATCACGGTTATAGGTGGCCTGCTACTGGGCAAGAAAAGGTGGAAGAGTGAATGGGAGAACGTTCTCGACGACTTTGGCGCATACCTGTCAAGGAGCCAGAGTGAAGCAGGGGAAATTAGTGAAGCATGGGCAATTCTGGAATTAAGTTATGCAGACCTCCCTGCCAATCATCTTTTAAGTACAAACTGAATATATAGATTTCTTGTAAAGTCATTGATTCCTTACCTACCGACAAGATATACGGTCTTTGCATTAGCCGCTTCTGCTTTATAAAAATGTGTAGAAAAACAGATGCAGATATTAATCTGGCTTTGCAACTGCACTTGAAAGATAAGAGCCTCTCCTCCAATTCTGGTTCTTGCTCTTTTATTGAGAAGCAAAGCCTTCTTAGATTAGATGGCTGACACTATTATCTCTCTTGTTATTGAAAGAACTGTTGATCTGCTGATTAAAAAATCTGTTTTCCTGAAAGATGTTGGACGACAAGTTGAAAGAGTCCGAAATGATCTGGACTGGATGCGGTGTTTCCTGAAAGATGCAGATCAAAGGCAAGATGAAGATGAAAGGATTCACCACTGGGTTTCACAAATCAGAGCTGCTGCCTATGATGCAGAGGATGTCATTGAGATCTTTGCCGGCAAAATTGAGTTCATGAAAGATAAGGGATTTGTCCTGAAATTGGCATATTATCCCTGGCGGATTGTGAGCCTCAACAAGATAGGCAAAGATATTGAGTCCTTACAGATGAGGCTCAATGACATAGCTGATAGCCGTGAAAAATACGGTATAAAAAATCTAGGAGAGCGAACGAATACACATGGAGAAGAGCTTCAACGGCTCCGACGATCCTCTCCAATTAGTGAGGACATGGATATTGTGGGCTTCGAGAAGATGGTAAAATCCCTGGTGGCAGAACTCTTGAAAGAGGACAGAAACCGCCGTGTGGTTTCAATCATTGGCATGGGAGGTGCTGGTAAGACAACTCTAGCCAAAAAAGTTTATAACCATGCTGATGTCAGGACAAGATTCAACTGCCGTGCTTGGGTCTGCGTCTCTTCAAGCTACGATCACAAAAAGATGCTGAGGGCAATCATAAAGCAATTGAATGAAATGAGTAAAGAGCTACTTGAAGTGTTGGAAAAGATGGAAGAGGAAGACTTGGAACGAAGGCTGTATAAAGATCTACAAGATAAGTGTTATCTTGTGGTACTTGATGATTTGTGGAAAGAAGAAGCGTGGGATTGTCTTGCTAGAGCCTTTCCTGATGTTAATACATCAAGTAGACTGCTACTTACAAGTCGCAATCGGGATGTTGCCCAACACGCAGATGCTCTTAGCAAACCACATGAGCTGAAAACTCTGGGGGAGGAAGACAGCTGGCAGTTGTTCCTCAGAAAGGCCTTAGACCATGGAGCTAATGTTGGGTGTCCTCGAGATTTGGAAGAAGTAGGCAGAGAGATTGTAAGGAGATGTGCTGGTCTGCCACTGGCCATCACAGTTGTTGGTGGGCTGCTACTGGGCAAGAAAAAGTTGAAGAGTGAATGGGAGAAAATTCTCAACAATTTCAGCACACACCTATCAAGAAGCCAGAGTGGGGTATCAGCAATTCTGGAATTAAGTTATGCAGACCTCCCTGCCAATCTGAAATTTTGCTTTTCGTATTTGGGTTTGTTTCCAGAAGACCACGTGATTTCTGTGCGCAAGTTGATCCAAATGTGGGTTGCAGAGGGAATAATCCAGAAAAGAGATGCAAAAAATTTGGAGGAAACTGCAGCATATGATGTAGAACAACTTTGTAGCAGGAATATGGTCCAAGTGGCAGAAATGACTGTTGATGAGAGGATTAAAAGCTGCAGAGTCCATGATTTGCTGCGAGAGCTTGCAATCAGAAAGGCAGATGATGAAAATTTTTTTCAGATCAATGACACCAGAGATGATGAAATATCAGCCGAATCCAGGTACCTTGCTGTTCATAGTCTCCCTCTGGATAAAAATTATTTTGGGTCTTCGACCCCTCCTCTCCGGTCTCTGTTTTTTTTCAATGTCCGCTATCACAGGAAAAACATTAGTCTTATCTTCAAAAGTTTCAGAAAGCTGAGGATACTAGACCTTGAGAATGTTATTATGTACTTTAATTTGCCAAAAGGAATTGGTGAAGTCAGGCTTCTAAGGTACCTCAATTTAAGAGGCACACACATTAGAAGGCTCCCTCATTCCGTCGGTTGCTTGCGAAACCTACAAACTCTTGACATACGGAACTCTTACCCAGAGAGAGTTTATCCATTACGAGTGAAAGTTTCAAATTTCATTTGGAAGCTTGAAAGTTTACGGCATCTATATGCCTATGATATAAGCTGTGATGTGCCTCTTAAGATTGAAGGATTGAGGAATCTCCAGACTCTGTCAGGCATACGCTTTGAGGACGTTATGCACAATAACATGGTAACTCTGACAAGTCTTCAGAAACTGGGGATTGTAGTGGATGACAGGTCAGACATAGACAAACTCTGCAGGCATTTATCTGAGGTTGGAAGTTTAAAGACGTTACATCTTTATTGTTATATAGAAAGAGAGCGTCCATCTCTAGCTGGACTTTCTAGACTCCATCATGTGACAGAGCTTAAGCTAGTCGGGCTGGATTTGAGAATGCTGCCTCCTGATTTCCCTCCAAATCTCTCTCGCTTGTCTTTGAGATCCATGTATCTCATGGATGACCCAATGCCAGTACTGGAGAAGTTGGGACAGCTGTCGTTCCTAAAAATGAAAGATACATATGTTCGACCACAGCATGTGGTCATTTCTAGGCACGGGTTTCACCAATTGAAATTCCTTGAGCTCAACCGCCTATTTCATGTGCATGAAATAAAGGTGGAGGAAGGTGCATTGCCACAGCTCCAGTGCCTGAGAATCAGGGAGTGCCACAGATTAGCAAAGTTGCTGGAAGAGCTGAAGCACATATCTACTCTTGATACGCTTGAGCTTGTGGGGATGCCAAAAGATTTCATCAGTGGGCTTGATGCGGACCTGGTATACAGCGTCCCAAACCTCAGAATATTTTGACTCGCAGAAGGAAAGAAGTTGGTATTTGTATTTCGCGCATAGAATGGAAGGTATGTCGTGTAGTGATTAATAAAATTATTTCAAGTTTTTATCAAAATACATAAATAAAAAGAATGTTTCCGTATTTGTTTTCCCCAATTCACAAGCTTTTTAAGTCCTTTATTTTTTTTAATTATTTGAAATCTCACACTTCAAGGAATGACTCTTTTGTTATTAATGATATTTTTGGGCAACTAACCTCTTATAGGATTTGTCTTTCTATAAATTTACATTGCATATATCATATTAATACAAGTAGTAATTAAAAAAAAAAAAAGAAAACAGTTAAATGTCGAAATCAATAAAAATGTGTAGAGTTATTTGGTTGATTCTAATTTTTCCAACGCTGTCCAAACCGAAAAAGAGAATAAGGAAATAAAAGGCCCTATTCGTGCACTGGAAGAGAAAAAAAGAATGAAGTTGGCAAACAAATCAAGAAAGAGTAAAACTTTTAATTGATACAGATAAATAAAGGTAAAGAGTTACCCAGGAAAGGGAAAAAAAAAAAAGAAAGAGTGGGCTCAATTTTCTGAAAATGAAGGCATCTTGAGTGAAAAGCATATTGTTATTTAAATGAAAAGAAAATTTGTTATAATAAGGCAATATAAAAGTAAGTCGAATGGTCAACAGAAGCAAAACCGTCCAGGTACAATGGTTTCTCCAAAGAAAACAAAACAAAACAAAACAAAACGAGAACTCTGTCACTCAACTGGACCCCAATCGAGCCAAATTGAACATCTTTGATTAAGCACGAGTATTGAAAAAAAGAACAAAATTGAAAGTGATAATTTGAGTATTTATTTAAAAAATAAAATGTTTATTAGTAAAAATCCTGAAGTGATACAGTAGCGATTGCAGATCGGAGTTTAGGTGTAAAACTCTACATTTGAAATTTGTTTAGCGCAAATCGTTCATTAGACATATCCTTCAAAGATATGCAGTCCGGTTTCTGCTTTCGTTGTAAAAATTAAAGGTTCAGTATTTTTGTGTTATGTTAGCATCTACATTGGATATTCTCATTTTGTCTTCAATATTTATATTCCAGATTTGTATGTCTACATCATAGTTATAAAATTTGGCTCCACTCAATGATTTAACCGGTTAATTTGATGAACTGGCAACCTAATCAAGTTGGATCGAATAGAGAATACATCCGTGGATCCGTCAATAACTCGATGAATCAACCAATAAAGTTAAAAATTATTGGTTGAACCGCTAATTTAAAAAATCAAAATATATTATTATATCATATAATATAGTTATTAATCAGACCAGTCAATCTACAATTGGACAAACAACCAGTTGAACTAATCACCTCTTTGAGTTGAGGTTCGACTAGTTGAGTTTTATAATTATGGTCTACATTATCTCAAATGTTATTCTCCCAATTATTATGGATCTAAATACTTGTATAGATTTATGAGGACTACCTAGGTTGACTACGAATATTCTTTAAACGTTTGTTCCTTCCTAAAATATATCCCTTGTAGATCCACATTCTTTTTTACAAGCTCCCTCAACCGTGCCAAAATTTTAAATATTAATGTTCGAGATTGGCTCAATTTTTTATTGTCGAGTGAGATTTACAAAACAGTGTTCTAAAATTTTCTTCTTTTACAAAATCATTTAGGATTGAAACAAGTCCAGACTCATCTTTCTAAATACATATCTTTGATTCGTAAGTACTACAATTTGTATAAAGTATGAATTTAAGATACTGCCTCTTCCAAAAATTTAAGACACGGGAACACTACTGTTTCCAATACCTAATGTACGTTCCACAACGCCAAACCAGGGTTCCTACCGTTATCGCAGCAATTGCACCGTGCAATTGTTGATCGGTATGAATTTTACTTTCAATTGGATAAATAAGATCAATAGTAGACCACAACTTTAAATAAGTAACACAATTTGTTTTGATTTTACATATTATTATATTATTACAGATATAATCAAAATAAGTTATTTGACTCGAACTCATGAGCAGTTCCATCAAAAATAAATTTTGATTAACTATAAAGCTGAGCTTGAGAGCATGAACACGAGCTCTCGAGTTCGCTTACCATGGCCACTAGTTGAGCTCAAATTTCATGTTTCTTGATCATTTGAATTCGAATTGGCAAAGAAAAAAATCGTGTCCAAACTTGAGTATATGCTCACAATCTCTACATCTATACAATATTTAAAGAGAGAATAACATTTTATGGGGAAAACAAACACTTTTTGAAATTCTTAATCTATCCTCAATTATAAGAACAAATTTGTCTCCATCCATTCTACGAACACAACTTCCCACAATCAACAAATAGTTATCTCGTTGAGATCTAATCACAACTTCTGCACGCCAACTCTCTTATGCCTCCACTCTTTTCTCTATCATATTTTTAAATACAATAACTTTCCCTAACGTAGTCACTATAGAAATTTTATATAAAAACAGACATGTCTAAATCTAATATGACATGTAACTTGATATGAAAAAAATAATCATATATTTTCTTGCAATGAGAACGCACCTTAGCGTGTATTGTGTGCCAAAAGCACTAGTTTTATATCAATATGCCATTTGGCCCAAGTATTCTGGCACGAGAAACCGATCCTGCCTTTTCAAGTGTTTTCAGCATATGCTCCTTTCTTTCAGGCAGTCCAACTCCCACCCTTTCCACTTAGTCCCCAACAACAAAGCCGCCTCCCCTCGCCTCCTTCCTCGGCGGAGCCCCAACGTTCACCTCATTTCCCCCACCAACCCACATCTGCCTGTCTATTTTCCTCCACTCATTTCCTCTTCTACTTCGATTCCACCCAAGAAACCTCCAAAAATGCAGGGCACAGCATGATTTTGATTATAAAGAAATTTTTATTTATTTTTTTGTGAATTACTGGAATGAAAAGAACATTATGCATACAAATTTTGCAATTAATACGAGACTTAATTTTCTTTTGATAGGTGGTGTAGCTAGGAGTTTAGATGAAGATAACATGTATGCAATACATTGATTGTGAAATATTGTGGCTGGCTGCTTCTGTTTCAATCTTTTATGTCTTCCACACACACATATATAGAGGCCTAATACTTATCACAAATATTAACATTTTCTGATAGTTTCTAAGTTTGGATTCTTGAAATCCAGATCTGATTTAACATCTCATATTGTCATGGTGACAGTTTTCTTACGTACTTTCAATCCTTTTGTATTTTGCATATGTGCCAAAAGAGTTAATGCTCTCATGACCGGAAAATTATCATCTTCTGATTCTTTGTTACGTTGGTTTGGATTCTTGAAATTCACATTTCCTATTAAGAAAATTTCTTATCTGTACCAACTCGTTATTACATCTAAATTATACCCAATTCAATATTTAAATCTGCAGTCACTTTTGTTTACTTTCTTGTACTTAGGACTTGTTTTGAATGCTCTCTGATTTCTAAAAGCTGATTTAATGGAGTTGATTAATGAAATTAGATTTTTCAAAATAACTCATATCTTCTGATTTGCTGTTAAACAAGCTATTTGATCGCGTGCACAGGTGTTCTCAAAATATTAAGAATTCAAAAATCAATGCTCTTTAAATTTGACGTTTAGGGAATAAAGGAAAATTTGAAGAATTCTAAAATCAATGCTCTTTAAATTTGATGTTCTGCGTAGATAAGCAAAAATGACGATTTGGATAGTAATACTTATTAGTCAACCACATCTCATGGTTTGATGTTACGAATTCCACAAATTTAATAATTATAATTATAAATTTCTTTCACATTAATAGATTCTTACTCTCCAATTTAAACGGCGCATTATCTTTAGCTGAACAGGGTATGGACGTAATCACTTAATAATACATGGAGATAGCTAGAAACTTGTAGATTAGCATAAAGAAGAAATTTTGTATAAGGAATTAGATACTGAATAATTGCACATGAGAAAAAAATCTAATCTATAGTATATTCATAGTTCCTGATCCTTGTATCAAAAGAAAAACTTGAAATACATTCATAGTCGGAAACAATATGGACTAGAAATATTATTTTCATATCAAATATGCAAGAAAATAATACTCCTTTTTTAGCTGCTCCCCCCTTGTAAGAGGTTGGGTATGTCCGCCTTCATCAAAAAAATTTATATTATTCAGTTAAATTTCTAGAGTGACGTCCCTCCTTCATGTACGGAAATTGTCCATTAAAAATATAATCCACAATTACAAGTTTTTTAAACATGTTTAGTTATCTTCTTTGGAACTCCGAAAAATAGCAAAAATAGGTGGTCACAAGTTGAGATGTAATCGAATTGAGTTACTTGCAAGTAGTTTGGTAAAGAACTGGACTGGCACTTGAAGCCGAGTGTGAGTCTCGAGTGCAAGTCGTGCTCAGGTGTCTCAATAGTATTTCGATTCCAGTCCGAGTATTATCTTTTGGGGTCGAAAGCTCATCGACCCTTGTCAAGCACCAAATAATTAATTAAAAATTATATATTTAATTATTAAAGTTTTACTCTTTTAAGCTTGGGAGTTGTATAAATTACCAGAATATTGGCTATGACTTTAAAATATTTATAGGTCATATAATCATTTCACATGGAAAAAAATAATTTGATAAGTAAAAATTAAAATTGTGCATTTCTGGAAATGGACAAGGATCTCAGGTTCGAGTACTTGACTTGAGTTTGAACATACTTGCACGAAAATCAAACATAATCGAGTCGATCTTGGGTTTTCAAACAATTCTTTGAGCTCGAACCCAATTTCCATTTCTACTGCTCACTCGAGTTCAAGCAATGCCTCCTTATCGTCGAGTTGAGCTCGAGTACCATGATACTCAATTTAGTCTCGATTTGATTGCATCTCTAGTCACAAGAATGGGGTGGCAGCACTTGATTACATTTCTGGAATTGGATAAAGATTTTGGGTTCGAGTACTTGTCTTGAGTTTGATCATACTCGCAAGAAAATCGAGCATAATCGAGTCGA